CACGGGATGAATTGGATTGAGTTTAATTCGTTTGAATTCAGTTAAGTGAATCGGTACTTTCTAGCGCTTCTCTGTAGAGAAACACTTTGCGGAGAAAGGTTTACAGCCTCAGTTAGTGCGAGAATTCGATTCCATTTTTGTTTTCGGTCATATTTAGTTTAATGTTGTTATGTTTGCGTCGACATTTAGAAACGGAAGTTAACGTTTCAGCCGTCTCTGTGCTCAAGTCTCAACGTCATTCGTCAGCGACAAGGGAAAGTCATAGACAGCACGTCTATATGGCAAAAAGCTATAATTAGTTATCATATCATATTTGTTCAGCCACATGATAAATCTCTGAAGTTTTGTATGTAGTCTCATTCGGTGTATCACGACTTGCGGCAGGGAGCTTCCAAGCTTCTAACGCAAAACATTGTGAGCCAACACTACAAAGAGCTTTGGCAAACAGGTACGCAATTGCAAGTAATGAGCCTTGTTTGATCTGTAGTTACGTCTTGTAATACTTTTACATATTTTTCATGACATGATTACGTCGTTAGAAAAGGTATATATATATATGTATGTATATATATTTATATTTCCATGTCCAAAACAATTCCCATGAATCGAAGTTCGGAACAGGCCGATTTCAACGGGTACAAAAATAATTTGTAAACAAACCTTACTGATCTCTCTGTTTGCCCTATACAAACTTAGCCTGAAATTGCGCCTGAACGGTGACCAAAACACACAGTATCGAATGAGGCAAACTTTTTGCTTCAAATGCCAGCTATAAGCCATGCGGTCGGCTAGCACGATGAATACTCTGCATGAACAATGTAAAGCTCAGTCGATTGATACCAGCTGAAAATCTTAGTAGTGTTTGAAAGAATTTTAAATAGCGCTTCATGATTTCAACGAATACAATGTAACGGGAAGGTGTCAGACTGGCTGCCTCTTCGCTGTGGTGTGCCGCAAGGGAGCCTTCTAGGTCCGCTTTTTTAAATGTCTTTGTGAATGATGTAAATTACTCAGCTGGATATTCCTCCCTACGTCTGTGTGCTGATGACACTACGCAATATATAGCCCATAAGAGACCCTGCACACTTGAAACGACATAGAGAGATTAACCCATTGGTTCACTGCGAATTACCTGCAGTATACGCTACTAAAACTCAGGCAATGACACTGGGGAAATCTCAGTACCCTCAGGGACCGCGCAGAGGGAGGGGCTGGGGGGGCTTTAGCCCCCCCACTTTTTTGCAAGAATAAAAATAAATTTAACAAAAAATAATTTAACAAAAGTAACAGAGTGAAAAATAGCAAAAAATCGTTAATTCGAAATTGACCAGAGTTACTGGCAAAGACAAACGCGCAGATAAATAGGCAGAATGAAGCATTAGTCGTTACAATTGTAAAATATTTTTTCGCTTCTAACCTAGCAGAGGTAAACGTCTTTTAAATGGCCTCTTTTTCCTGGAAAAACTGTACAACGATGATGTTAATATTTCAGTGTTAACCGCCCAGATGGAAATTTTACAAGTGCTGCTGAAGGATGGTGATTATTTTTGTTTTGACGACATCATAGTAAAAATCAAAGAGCTACCCAACCCAGAACGGGAAATGATAAAAGAAGTTATCACGGTATGTAAGCTGATTGTCGTAAATCCAGCAACCAGTGCAGCCGGTGAAAGATCCTTTTCGACTGCCCGGAGGCTAAAAACATGGCTCCGTTCAAGAATGAACCAGGAACGATTTAGTAACCTGACAGTTTTAAACATACACAAAGAAAGAACGGACAGGCTTTCCACCATTGACATAGCAAACGAATTTACCGACCGCAACACAAACAGAAAGCGTAATTTTGGCACTTTTCGAGTAAATGATGTACAGTAACTTTAATATCATTCACTAAATTATTTTCAGTTACCGTTTTGTTTTGCCGTGTAAATATTTTGAATGAATAATTAAACAATTATTGAACTCGGCTTTCGTATGATACGAAGATATACAGATCTCAGAGGGTGTTATCCACCGGGCTCAAGCCTTCAGCTTTGGCGGATAACCCCCTTGATCCGATACTCAGCCTCGTGCAATAATTGCTCAGTAATTATACAGCCTTGAGTTCAAGGCAGCTCAAGCAAAATCGTTGGATTTCTGGCTTATTTATAGTAATTAAAGGTTGATATCAGTAGTATAACATAACAATCTATGATATTTCAATTTAGTGATGGTGAATTTTCAGACCCGATAGCAAGGTCACTGAAGATGTGGAAAAAAATCAATAGCTTTATCGTTATTCGCATTCTCCGTTACTTTAGAGAAATTGAATAGAAATCCACAAGCATGCCCCCCGGCCCCCGGCCCCCCCCCCAAAATTTTCCTTCACGCATTCTTCTTTAGCCCCCCCACTCGAAAACTTGCTGCGCGGTCCCTGCCCATACAATATTTTTAGTGGTGACAAGGCCATCGAAATTGAACGAATTCTCAACATTGGATCGGGATTTGTCCTTGAAGCCCCATGCTGCAATCATGCTGAAAAAAGCGTATGCTAAGATAGCCGCACTACGGAGAATTAAGCGCTTAGTTCCTTCAGACGTAATGATTTCTCTTTTTAAAGCCTACGTGTTACCGCATTTAGAATTCGGCTACCTATGACTTTTGCCTTGCAATGGCTGCTATGGTCACGCTTGAGCAAAGACGCACCCTGCCATCGCTTATTCTTTTTTTCAAGTGTTTTAAACTAGATGGCCCAAATTATATCTCCCGATTTTTTACACCTCGATTAATTATTTACAGCTTACGAGGCAGTGGCTTAAATGTTGTGCAGCCTCCATATAACACCCTTGTCGTGGACAACTCCTATTTGTACATGATTGCCCACATATGAAATCGTTTACCAGATGTCGCCAAATTCTCGACCACTTTAGCACAATTTCGTGCTCGCCTGAATAATGTTAAATTCACAGGGTGCCAGTGTATGAACTGTATGTATGTATGAACTGTATGTGCTTTGGCACAAAGGTTTTGTGCCTAAAATGTGCCTAAGATGCGCATGAAGTGTGCATTTTAGTTTTGAAAAACGTACCTAAGCCGTGCCTAAGTTGTGCCCAAACTGTGCCTAATCTGTGCACAAGTTGTGCCAAACTATTGAGTCACTCGGAAAATCGTGTCCAGCCTATCGAGCTCCACAGCGAAAGAAAAGTGCGCACGGCAATTATGTCAGTTTTAAGATTTACGAAGTCTAGAAACACGGTCTGACGACCTTTTTATCCCCTGATAAGAAATAACATGACTCAGAATACGATTAGAGACAGCAGGGAAAGCCCCGACAAACAGGAAAATGGAATCTTAAACAGGTTAGCGTATGTAAAATAAGTGCTCAGCTCAATTACATGTTGATATAATTTCATCGATTCAAGAATTCCACTGATGTTAAAAAATTTCCAAGTGGGCTTCTTCTCCCCGTCTTAACGGGGCGTTTAGTTGGAACGAAATATTTGTTTTTTCAGTAGGGCAGACTTGCATTCAAAAAAAGAATTTACTTGTGATATGACTTATAAAATGAAAACGAAAAAATTGATTGCACGCCGATGAGTTTTGAAGCAAAATTGGCACGTCTCATCGATTATTATACGATCAAAGCTTAATTTGCTAACAGAGCCAGAAAACAAAAACAAACAAGCAGCTTGAATTATTTTACTACTAAGTGTAAATTCTACTTGTTTAGTTAGAGAAATATTGTTAAAAAGCAGCCGCATTTTGTACCAAAAAACAACACGCGTTGGCATGAAGGTTTCAAATTACCACTTTTCATGTTGTTATGCAAATTCAGGCTAATTTTACCGCGATCGCAAAAAGTATTTTCTACGACTTTTATTGGCTATTTTTGTGCCTTACTTCTTTAGCTTTGTTTTTGTTATTATGGCTTCGACTTTCTTTCACGATTTCTTTTAGAAACGAAAGAAAGCCAGTCTATAAAATTGCATGGCAATCGAAAAGGTTCGATCAGACCACACATATCGCGTGTGAATTTCAACTTTATCCTCGGAGTAAACACGGACTGTCGAAGAATGCTTTAATTTTCCCGACTTTCGGCGCGGCTCAAAACTTACACTTCCTATACTTCTAACTGCATCGTGTTTGATCTGAATTATTTTTGTAATTCGTACCAAGTTTGTTCTTTTTTTGCAAGTCGGGTTACAAGATTTTCAAAAAAGTGCCTAGCGTTGAATATTTGTGCCTAAACCGTGCCAAAATTGTGCCCAAACTGTGCCTAAAATGTGCCTTAGCAATATTTAAAACGTGCCTTGACTGTGCCTAAAGTGTGCCTAATCTGTGCCTTTACATGTTTTTTTCCCGTGCTTTGGCACAAAAACCGTGCCTTTTCTTGAGCGCGAATCGTGCATAAGGTACGGTGTTACGCTCGTGTACACCAGTAGCGTGCGCCAAGCCTTTGTCGAGCGTTTTTTCCCACGTTCTTCGACATTAAATAAATTATTCTATTCTATTCTATCCCGAAACATTTTCGGCTCCAGGCTGGAACCTAAAGGCCAACGCGCAGAGTTTAGCTCACTGAAAGAGAAGAAAACCGGATGACCTTAAAAAATAGCTCCCCGGAGACGTCCTTTGGGGTTCGTTTGTCACGTATTCATTTCTCTGAATGCGTGACGAACGAACCCCAAAGGCCGTCTGCGGGGAGGCTACTTAAATAAAGACAGAAATCGAATTAAGCACATTATAACATTGTATAACTGCAATAAATCGGCGGGGGCCAAGCTGGAAGCCTACAACTAAGTGCTCAACGGTGCAGGATTAGGCGTTGCATGATAGATTATGCTCGAGAATCAGTTAGAGAGAAAAAAAATCAACTGTTTGTCTGCCTGTTGTCACATTCGTGGAGCCTACTTGTAGGTCCAGGACTCTTTCCAACTCAACGCATGCGCATAACTAGCTCGGTTACCCAAGATGGTGTCTGCATGCTGGTCGTTCATTGTTTCAGTTTTTATAGTTGTCAGACAATGAATTATGTACTTCCTAGAAGTAAATAACAATGCATTGTTATTGAGGGTTTGTTTTTACCAAATTTAAAGTAAAAAGAAGAAGTATAATTTCTGTACTGTTTTCTAAAATTAGCATATTTTACCAAAACTTGCATAATTAGTGGCATAATTTTAGAAATATACGAGCACTGGTAGTAGGATATTATGCTACTTTTACGGGGTCAGTCTTTCAAAGCCTATCTAGGGGTGCGTTTTTTTGAGAAAATCCAAATCTGGATTTCCGAATCCAAAAACGGATTTTGCGTCTTTTTGCGCAAATCCAAAAACGGATCATGAATCCATAAAATCCACTCTCTGTGAGTGGATTCTTCGGATCAAATCTAAATCCGGATTTTTGAGATTCACAATCTGAGCGTTTTTTTTGGGAAAGGATTCGAAAAAAGTATTTTTGACAGATTGTAACTGAACTTATGTTGCTGACACCTTCACTTTTAGCCATTAGTTACATATCATTCCATGTTTGCTATCTATTTCTCAAACTCATTAATAATTCATAAAGAAAATACAAAGAAAATTAATGTTTAATGAGTGTTTGAAAATCGGATGAAAAACTGCTCAGTATTTGCATCCTTAATTTCTCCTTCAAAAATGATTTTGTTTGAGAAGAAATATCAAACATTCGACACAGTGTTTCATCACCAGATGAAACACCTCGAAGTTCGTCAAAAATACTCCGCTGCGCGTCGTATTTTCAACTCTCTTCTCGGTGTTTCATCTGGTGATGAAACGCTGCGTCTCATGTTTGATATATTACTTAAATTCGTAGACTGTTTTGAAATCCCTACTTGTCATGTTTTGTGCACATATGTAGTGTCTGCTTACGCCGGTATATTTTTCAAGTAATTAAAAAAAAACGGTTGATCGGCTTCAGTTTTAAATTGTTATAATTTTACCATCCTTAGGAGAGTAATACAATCCTGGTCAAAACGTTTGGAACATTGTATTTAAGGTCAGGGAAATGCAATTCAACTTTACCCCACACCTCCACTCCCCCCTGGACAGTTAAGTGTTGGGTGTTACAAGTCAAAAACACCTTTAACATATCTTGCACACGTTAAGGATCCCAACGTTGTTCGGGAAGGGGGCCGGGGGAGTTGGGAGGAAAATCTTGTTAAGGTCGTGTTTATGAGTGCGCCATTGCTGGTTAGCTGCAAATTCCATAGAGACGCGCGTGAAAAAGGGGAGGTGTCCCAAAACCTTTTGGCCAGGATTGTAGGTTTATGAAGAGGAGGAAGAAGCAGATTGACAACTACAGGAAACGATTCAAATTGTTTCTAGATAGAACCATAGTCAAGGTCAGTCAGACGTGAGATCATCAAAGTCTTGGAAATTGATTCAGAATTGACTCCTCTTTGTGTTACTTTATTTAGCTCAAGTAAATCTACCCGACATGCCTTTCCAGGCACAAATTAACCGTATGAACGAGGACGTTCGAGAACAAAACGAAAAACTGAAGCAACTCAAGGAACTGGACCTTTTCGTTTTGGAAAATTCCTTCCGAGAAAGCACTTTGGGACAGATTCATAGCCATAGTGTCGAAAAGAGATGGAAAATATACAATGAGGTGAGCCAGTCCTATTTGAAAATTTCTTATATGATTACTCTATAAAGTGATCAAAAGAATAAAATTTGGAGACTGGAAGAGCGTGATATGATGTTCGCTTGTTAAGAACTTCAACTTAATGTGTTTCTTTTCTTCTCTTCCCCCTCGATTTCGTTAGTTTTCTGAATCTGCCTCTTCCTTCTCCTCCTCTTTTTGCATTTCCTTCTTCTCTCCCGTTCTCTTTTTCTGTCCATCATCCTCTTCTACTTGTCCCAGTCTCCTCCAACCCTTTGTCCTTTCTTCAACGCGTTTCTTCTTCTCCTCTTGCTCCTCCACTTTCTGCTTCATCTTCTCCTGATTCTGCTCCTTCTTTTCCTTTCATCTTCCTCCCTCCGCTTCCTTGTCCTCTCTTCCCCTCCTACCCCCTCCTTATGACTCCCACTCTTCTCTTCTTCCTTCCCCACCCTTCTTTTTCACCTTTTCCTTCTCTTCCTTCTTCTTTTTATCCATATTCTTCTCTTCGTCTCTCTTCTGTCACTCTTGCCTACTAATAATTCCCCCCGCTACTCCCAGAAACTAGCCTTACAAAACAAAAATTGGAACGCCCTGACTCGTTATTCATCTACAGGTGAAAAAATTAGGCTTCCAGAATATCATCCTCGCATCGTTTAAGCACAAGACCCGTCTGGAAGACACATTCTGTCGTCAACTTAAAGAAAAAGGAGAAGACTTCAGTAATTTTTTTGCCTTCTCGGAGTTCATTGAATCTGTCAACAAAGATAGATATCCCGATACAGTAACTGTTCCCATTGGTTTACAAAAAATGAAAGAGTATGGCATCAAACATCCCATTATTGAGGTTGACTTAGTCCACAGTGGCATCGACTACAAGAAGTTTCTTTGTGAAGATATCAACAAGCTTCTGTCTCATCAAATGAGGTGGGTGAGAGAAAATCTTTCCAAGGATTCCCGCATATTCATCAACCTCCGCGACTTTCCTCAGAGTATGCAGAGGAAGCCTGAACGAATTTTCCAAGTGGTCCATTACTTATCGTCTTTGCCCCCAAGTGAGCGTCCCTTTGGTCTGATGTACGAAGAACCAACTGGCGAGTCCATGCCACAAGAACTCGGTGCCTGGACGGCGGCAGTTCGTAGAGAGATGAACGATTGTTGTTGGAAGGACGGTAAGCTATTGGTGCATGTCCACGAGCAATGGGGAATGGCTGACTGCACCGCGTTGGAGTGTCTTGCCAGGGGAGCAGATGGTATTTGGGCGAGTTTGATTAGAGAAGGTGGCGCTACTGGTCACGCTTCCTCTAGCGTGACCATAATGAACTTGGTCCGTCTTGGAAATCAAAAGGTTTTACAACAGTTTAACTGTAGGTACCTTCGTAAAGCCGCTCAAGAGGTCACTAGGATCATCACTGGGTTGGAACCTCATTCAACACAGGTTGTGTATGGTGAGAGAGCCCTTGATATGGTTCTGGGAGTTCCCCATTTGCAGCCATACAAGCAAGAATTTGATGTTGCCAAGTTCTTTGGAGAAGTGCCTACAATACGAGTACCTACCATGGCCACACCTAAAATGATCGCTGAAAGACTAAAACATTTGTTCGGAGAGGATCCCCAGTTCACGGAGGAAATAGGCATGAGAATGAAAGAGGTCATGCTGGAAGATCTACACAACAACAGGAAAGAGGAATACCTGAGCGCAGTTGGTCTTGCAGTTCTATTTGACCGGTCTGGTGGCCAACTAACCGCCAAGATGAGCGACGTGATTGCAGCACATGTTCCAAACGAGGCTCACGGTCAAGAATTGATCAACGAAATTCGGCAAATGTGGAATGAGTGGGATCTTAGAGAGGAATCCAAAAGAGATGACGACCTTGAGTTCGACTCATTTTACAACGGCTTCATGGCGCCCTACTTTAGCTTCTATAGATGCGAAGACATCACAAAGCGCGCATTGAAGGCGATCGACATAGATGGGGACAGCAGAGTGGATTGGAAAGAGTTTGTACTGTACCTCAAGTGGGCCATACGTCAGTATCCTCGGTCAATGACCGCAAAAGAGCTCCTGTTCATTGCTTTTCGAAAGGGCATCATTCCGGCCATGCAGGATGTGGTCATCTTGCAAACCACGGAAAAAAGAATCAATTCCGAAAAAGCCTAAACAAAAACGAAAGGTTAAAAAAATCTCCAAAAGGATGCACCATAACTTACATTTTAATATTTTCATTCAAAATTAGCGTTTTAAAAAGGGGTAATATTCAAATTGCGGTTCACCTTGAATAGAAGAAATCAAATGGAAGAATTATTTTCCTGCGTTTAAATGCATACCTTTTACATGTCAGACTTCACTTTTACTAGTGGACAAATTTTATCTTTAAAACCCTTTAATACGGAGCCCAGGAAGTGCCATGCAAATTTTGTGCTCGCTTTCTCCTTTCTCGACTTTTTTCTGGCCTTTAAGTTTTTATCCCGACTTTTTTCTCGACTTTTTTCACCGCTGATCACATACATTAAAGCCTCATTCATGGGTAGAAGTGCTTCAGGAGACATGGCCAGGTTTGATTCTTGGCTTTGTAACTATTTTATTTTTCGCTGAAAATGTAATACCGTACAGTTTGACCTCCCTACCTTCCTGTCTTACAACAAGGCAATGCTGAGCCAGGAAATGTTACTGGGAGCTACTACCGTTTGAGAATGAATTTCAAAGAGATCTTCACTTGCTGCTTGTCGGGTTAACCCATTGCTTTTATATAAAGTATGTGGCATTTGAAGAGCATTTTTAATATTCCTGGTCTTGGGAGGCGAGGAAACCGTAGTAACCCCAAGAGGTTGTTTTCGATGCAAGAGATAGCATTGCGTGGTAGTCGAAGTCAGGGACTGCGTACCTTGTACGGTTGTGGGGAAGAAGGGGGGTGTAATCCGAACCCGTAAGGTCCGCATCCATAGGGGAGAGAAGGTAGGGGGCATGATACCTAGGTAAAAGGACCGTTACATTTTCTCCTGTAATTCTGTTTTAAATTACTCCCATTTTTCTCTGCATGAATTATTGTTTGACTTTTTAGAGCTTAAGTGTTATCGTTTTATGATAGCAAGAGAGAACTTCTCATTACCATCAATACCGGTATTTGAAAACGGTACCGGTGATTTATAGCGAAGAAAAGGCGAAAACATAAATGAGGATTAACAGGGATAAAAAGGGCGAGAACGTCTGAGACAACGTATTTTGGAAACTTGAACAGAACTGTTAATGAATGTTACAACCTTGAAATCCACAAATGTATTTCTAACACAGGCTCTTACGAAAAAGTGACTAAATTAAATATTTTGAAAAGGTGTTATATGATCATTGTCTGAATAAATTATCAGCTGAATTGAGTTGAATAAATTAACCGTTAACTTTAAGAGAAATTGTCAAAACAATGTACTAAATAACAACAACTGTGTTTGAGCTGCGTGCAGGATGTTTGGGTTTGAGCGGATGAAGCAGGGGATGGTCGATCAAGTTGGAAGCTATTTTACCACCGTAGACACTTTGGATAATTAGGTTCATCCTGAGCACTTTGAGACTGAAACAATTTTAATTTTTCCAATCTGCCATTCACCAGTTTTCCTAGCTCAGCATTGCCATTGCCTTGTTATAAGATAGGAAGGAACGGAGGTCAAACTGCATGGTATTACATTTTCAGCGATAAATAAAACAGTTACAAAGCCAAGAATCAAGCCTGGCCACGTCTCTAAGCGATTCTACCCATGAGTGAGCCTTTGATGTATATGATGAGCGGTGAAAGAAGTCGAGACAAACGTCGGGAAAAAAGTCGGAAAAAAGTCGAGAAAAAAGTCGGGAAAAAAGTCGAGAAAAAGTCGGGAAAAAAATCGGGAAAAAAGTGGGGAAAAAAATTTAAAGGCGAGAAAAAAGTCGGGAAAAAAACTTAAAGGTGAGAAAAAAGTCAGAAAAAAACGCCGTTTAATTGGAAGCCAGAAGGCTAGCGTGATTTTACGGTATTGTTTACGAAGTTTGCGTTTATGAAGACCTTTGAAGAATTCCTGATCTAATATAGTAAGCAATCTTTGTATAAATGTCTGATTAATTTGTCTTGTCCCGCTGACCGGTATTACCGAAGAAAATAGTATCGTTCAACGGGACATCCTAAATTTATAGCAACATTTGTTGGCGTGTACATCACCTTCAGCTTTCATTGTTCAACTGTGTTGTAGAACTTGATTTCTGTAGATTTCTACAAGCTTAGGATAACGCTATAAGAATATTTTTGTTCATAAAAGTGGCCTTGTCGTTTTGGCCGGTATTACGAAAAAAAAAGTACCGCCTAGCAGGACAGCCTGAGTTATAGCAACACTTGTGAGGATGTATATCATATCTGGCCTTTTTATTGTTAAACGGTGATACAGAGCTTGCTTTCTGTAGGTTTCTACAAGGCCACGGTAACTAAACAGGAATGCTTTTATTCATGATAAATGCCTTGTTCTTTTGGCCTGTATTATCTAAGGAAATAGTACCTTCTAGCAGGACATCCTAAATCATGTTAGCAGTTCTTGCATGTAAGCTTATATAACACGCAGCTTTTTATTGCTACATTGTAATACAGACCTTGCTTTCTGAAGGTCTCTTCCTACCAGCTGGGAACAGTTGAATAAAGATAATTTTATTCATTCCTTGTTGTTGTTATCACCTAAGAATGTCCACCCAGGGGACACTCTAATGAGTGGGGAGTACCCAGGTATACCAGAGATGGGGAACTGCAAAAAGCTTTTTCTGGTTTGACATTTAAAAAACAAGGCTAACTGAACAGAAGTGATTTTATTCTTGAAAATTTTCTTGTCCTTTTGAATGGTATAAGCTAAGAAAATAGAACCACCCAGCGGGACATTTGTTGTTATTTCCTGTCCTCGCTATTTGTGTGTTGTTTGGATGCAAAGTATAACTCAGCAATAAACTGTTGCCGACAGTTGGCTGTACTCTCTGACTGGCACTGCACAGAAAAATCGAGCAAAATCGGAAAATCGTGGCCACAGCTCAATAACCTACCCTACCCTCATTTTCAGTCTGCAATAAGGTTTTAATGAGTTTATAACACGGCTGAGGTTTAAATTTCAAAATGCGGCCAAGTTTGGGAATTATTTGAGATTTTGGATTTCAACGGTCTGCGGGCCTAAAATTGGGGAACTTAAAGGGGCTGGTTCACGATAATGCGCATGTGTGAGTTCTGACAGTAGCTGATTGTTTTTCAACCAATCGGAAGCGAGTTAGATGCACGCAAGTAAATTTACAAAATTCAAATTAATTGTTCGCGACGCGAGAGTATTTCCGGGCATTTGGTTTGATTTTATTTATCCCCATAATTCAATTTTATTCTTTGCTACTCCTCAGACATATGTTGCAGCCGATAAGAATAAGATTTACAGCCCTGTCCTGCTTTGAAACAAACATTTACCAACGTGTATTTTTACGAGGTCGTACCCACGCTAACAAAACAGTCACCGATCGGCAAACAAAATTTGTAAACAAACATCTTATTACTGTTCTCTCAGTTCGCCTTACATAAACCCAGAAATGCCTACAAATAGCGCCGGACCGGTGACAAAAACACACAACGTATGAGTATAAAGATTATCCTTAATTGAGCATAAATTTCAATTGCTTATCAGCAAATGAACAAATTCATTCGCGTTGCATCGGGTCAGTGTTCCGCAAAACAAATGTTATCGAGTAGCACACATAAAGAAACTAGATTATGAACAGAATATTCAGGCAATAATTTATTTTAAAAACATCAATTCTTAAACATATACGATCGTAAAGCAAAGGTACAAGGAACATTTCAAGTGTACCAGATCGGTGAAGATCGCGCGGCCTTTTGCGGTATAACTACAGGTCGGAGTCAAAAATCAAATCAAAGTTGAACGAACTCATGCCTTTAACCACTTTCCAAGTGTCGTGTATTCTTTTCGTATGCCACACACTACTCCTAGAACCATACCAGATCGATAGGCTAAGCTTCTCTATCTCCAGAGACTCTTGAGAACGTCCTGTTGCCGGACGGCCACGATGCTCTTCTCAACCTCCATGATCAAAACATTATTTTTTGCGTCTTCTTAAAACGTAACCAGTCAAACGACACAACCACACGTTAATCACCACTACCGAAGTATAACTAGACCAGCCAAAGCGACGGATGTCCGAATAAAACGAAGGATTTTCAATGATTGTACCGGTAATGGCGATTTCGAATTTAGTGTTGACCCAACAAATTTATTCTGAAGAGACAAACGGCGCGCACGCGCATTATCGTGAACCAGTCCCTTTAAAGAACCACGACGAAGTTCAAGACGACGACGTCTGTTGACTGGGAAAGCACTGGAACGAGAACGTCAGTTTCGGCGGGAAAAGGAAACTTAAGATGCAGTCGGTCAGTAGGACGACGACGTCACTGAATGTAAACACAAATGTAAAACTGTGATTTTCGTTCGCAACAAAGTTTTTTCGCAATGGTGTCTTTTAAGAGCGAATGCACAGAAAAATCGAGCAAACCGTGGCCACAGCTCAAAACCTAACCTACCCTCATTTTAAGTTTTTAATAAGGTTTTAATGAGTTTATAACACTGCTGAGGTTTAAATTTCAAAATGCGGCCGAGTTTGGGAATTATTTGAGTTTTTCGATTTCAACGGTTTGCGGGCCTAAAATTAGCCGCCGAACACGGCAATATAGCCTAGCGACAGAGATGAGCTGACGTTCATAAACGAGCGAATATATTGGCAATCTTCCACTTAAATCTAAAAAAGCAGATATCTAACAATTTCTAAACAGCACATTTTTTTAGATTTAGAGAATAAAATATCGACGAACGAGCACAATTTTGAAACGTAATTTGCATAATGCTTATAAATACAACAATTTACCGCTAAAACCAAAATCGAATTTTCTATATGGGGGAATTCTCCAAATCACCCCAAATCCCGCTTACTACCCAATGAGATATAGTACTTCAACATTATCTGAAAGTTAGTCTGGTGTTCTTGCGAACGCTTGTAAAATATATTGATTATTTTGAGGTTATTTTGCCCCAAACAACCGCTAATTGACCCCAAGGTCAGTTGACACGTGCACGTCACCTTAATTTTATGCATCGATTTGAGCTCGTTAAAAGGGAGAAACTAACAAGATTCTTTTAATATGTACCTGTTTTAATGAAATACACGCAATCTTCAAAAGGAGAGGCCGTTCAATGGGTAATTTCTGTTCTTTAGATCTTGTAGATTGTACCATGGCGTCTGCGAGTGGACCTGAGTCTAGGTCTGTTTTCCCGTGACGGCGAAATCAGAATAACATCATGAAATAATTCTCGCTCGAACCTTCGTAAATGAATCACCTTTGCAGTGCCTTACCTGAGATGAAAAGTGGGCCGAATAGGAAAACATTCTAGCGCAATTTGGATCCTTTGTGGAACGCAAGCCTGGCTGTCAATTTTTTTTATAGCTCTGTACTGGTGTGAAGTTTGTAATTTATGTCTTCAGTGATTCGCTTAGTACGCTAATATTCAGATATAACTTGAGATAACATATTTTGGCTTGAAATGGTAAGGTTTTTATTGTGAGCTCGCACACCCCTCTAAAAGTTTTCTCGTCACCGCTTTTTCTAGTAGCAAAGTAACACGTTTACTAGAAATACTAAACACCCTGAAGTCATAATTATTATCTTGATCGAATGATAGGTCAATGCGTAAAAAAACGTTAACTTAGCGGTCACCCAAAAATTATTTGACCAGTCGCACTATTAAGGCAACCATGACATTGAAGCAAAATTGAACAGTTGCAATATCATGAGTTCAATCATTAAAATGGAGAACAAGACAAATTTATCAAGACCTCAAGAAGGCTGTTGAAATTACCTCACACTTTATCAGTGTTAATCTGATATACAACGCAGTTTCAACTGAGTGTGGTACACTCATAATGACTTTCATCCAATCAAAAACGCCGCAGACAATCAGATTTGTCAATCACATTCAGTCGATGAAGTAGCTAATGCGAAGCGCGGGAAAAGCGCGCGATTGCCTTCGGTTTTCCCTCCTGATTGGTTGAGCAAGTCCCACGAGGTTTTTTGACCCATAAAAGTCTTAACGGAAAAGAAAGCAATTGCGGAATTAGTTTTGGTACTTATTGAAAGTGCTCTGTTTTCAACAGTCACAAATTCCGCCAATACGACCACAGCACCTGTGCGGTTCTTTCAAACCACGACACAAGCACTTTTCAGTTCGTACATGCTTGGTGCAAAATCCTTGACATCTGCGGTCCATGGAGGGGTGGTGCTTCCACGAAGAAACCAAATTTATAACCAAATCAACTTTCCCCTCGAAACAGCTAAGCTTCTCTTCCAAACTCGAGAAATACTCGCGGCATTCCTCTCTAAGCTCTCTCAGATGCGTGTTAAGTTCTCTTATCTCCTCATCTTGTTTTTCCAAAGCGCTCTGCCAGTTCTGTATATACTGATCGCGGTAGTCAGCGTCTCCTCTTATTGCTTCGTCGTAATTTCGGTAAAACTCGTAAGGGGCCAAACCTTCCCGACTCGTCCGTGGTTGATTAAAATCCACTCGCGAGACCTCGTTACTTGTCGGGTAATAGATTTCTTCTTCGGAATCACGATATTCCAGATCGTCCGGATATTCATCTTGCAAAGCATACGACTTTTCCCGACCTCGCCCCGGTTCCGCCATAAATTTTTCGCAAAGAAAGAAAAACTGTTAAAACTACGTACGAATGAGAGGCGGAAGTCCTAGTTTCCGAACAGTTATTCTGTAGCGTCGTTATGACGAAGTTCTCTAACTGCTTTTAATGTTTGTTTCCTTAATTTGTTACATCATAATTGTGATTAACCATTTTGTTTACACACCTAGCTCGCGGGTTATTTACAATTGTTTTTCTTTTGTCTTTTTTCGCACTCTGTACTCAGGAATTCCTTTTTTCTTACCCATAAAGAACGGGCGACCTGTAATGTCTGCTCGAGCATTTTTCATTTCCCGCAAATTTTTCCCCTCACAAAAGAGAAGCGCTTGCCATGTCATGTGACCTCAACGAAGCCAACGAGAGCGCGCGCGCTGCGGGAGGAAATAATTCCAATAAAAGTTTCTTGTAGTCTAAGAGTACAAGTATATAAGAACACCGCTGCACTCAGTTTGAACCTTTTGTGCACAGTCAATTGAATTTTAGGAAAGAATAATAGTGCAGTAACAATGAAAGTTTTAATAACCTTCATTTTTCAGAGGACTTGTGTGTGCAACGCGGGAGCGAAAGCATATACTCCTTGAAACATAAATAAGACACCATTTAACGCCTAACGCAATTAAAAATATATGGTTATATAAATGATTACAGATATAAAAAAATGTAGATTCAAAATTAAAATCAAAATCAAAATGTGCTTATGCAAGATTATAGGTAGCCAGATTACAACAAATTAATGCAACAAAAAGGGATGGATCGTGTGAGCGGGAAGGCGCGCGGCGTGTTTAGGTGGCGGGGGGGGGGGGGGGGGGAGATTTTACAGTAAAGGGCGGAATTGTCAGTAGATTTTAATCACAATAAAATTTGGCGACACGTTGTTAGTTATCAACAAGGATGATTTCACAGAACACGTACGTGTAGAGGATGATAACTAATCAAGGTTGTGAGGGAGGAAGAGGGTATGCCGTATTCACGGCCTCGAATCAGGAGATCACAGCAAATCGACAAAGTCTCCTCAATAAAAGAGGAGGGAGACTTCCAGCGAAACGGAAGTGGATGGAAAGGGGAAGCCACAATGCATGGCTCATCGTAGCGTAGCAGTCACAACGACTAAACTACGATTTCTTCTTCTTTTTCCTCTTATCAAGTCCGTAGGAAGCAAGCCGCACCACTGACAGATTAGCCAGCGGTTCCTTTTTGGCTCCTCTAAATTGTCTTTGCAATCGTCTCTTGACTGCAAGTTCTTTCATCTCCTTAAAAGTGAGTCTCTTTCTTCTCTTATCCTTTCCATTAAACGTCCTTTTTCCTAAAGTTCGTTTGAGCTTTGGACTTTTGAATTCTTTCATTTCTTTTGAGTATTGCCCTTCTGTAATCGCCTGGCTTGCACTTTTCTTTATGTGTTCATTTGTCGCTGCATTTAAGGTCCTTTCGAATCTACTTCCGCTTTCATTTTGGTGAACGGTTTTGTCATTTCTGTTAAGATTGTTTTCAGATGTTTTGGTCTTTTCCGGTAAACTATTCGCGGACGATTTATTCTTTTGTGAATTTTCCTCATTATTTCTGCAAAAAGTGAACGTAGAAGTAACATGTTAAAGACGCGAAAAAAGATTCCAAACACCAAGAAAGGGCATGATCAAGAATGATCAAAGGTATGTGGTCGACTGATAAAAAAAAAACTGAATAAAACCTATTCGGTCTAACTGTTAGCCTACAAGAGTCGAACACACAAAAACATTATACAATTTTACTGCAAAATAGCAGGCTTTTTAGACATAACATACCCATCCTTTTCGGCCAGTGAAGTTAAAATCCTTCTCTTTCTGGTCACGTCTCTTCCTTTTTTGCGGTACTTCTTCACGTCTGTGTATTCTTCACTTTCAGGTCTGTTAGAAACGAGCAAACGTAAGTTTCGCGAAGGCTCTATGCTTTCCGAGAAGGGAAGGAAAGGTAGTTAGTAAAATAACCGTGGAAAGCAACATATCATTTTACTTGCAAACGAAGCGCACAAGTTCGAAAGAAATGTCTAACACATTTTTCTGCTTTGTAACACTGCGTGCAAATAGGCCTTTCGCGTATTTTGGAATTATTGTCTTTACAAGTCCGCGAAGACTCCGAAAAGAATTCATTCAGACAACAGGGTTTTGTTTGACAAAAAAATCTTTGAGAAGTGTGTAGGTCACAAAAAATCGCACGGTTTCCATGCCACCAGCAGTAAAATTGTCCTGTTTCCCTATGACGTCAGAGTTTATACAGTGCTGCCGCTAATAGGCCTAATAGCAGCTACAGTTCCCCAGAAAAATTGCTTTGTCAGATATTCTCGTAAAATAAACAACCGCAGATAAAAGGGTCCGATAATTTTTGTACTTCGCGAGTCCAGATACTACAGATACCTTCCTGCGAAAAGACTCGACTATGTCTAGCCCAATATATAACTACAGACAAGGGATGGTTAGAGCCCTACAGTAGCACAAATATTGACCCGCTAATTTGCTTAATTGGGAAAGCAGTGTTAAACAAACGCACCTGTATTGGGACATCTTTTTCACTGAAACCCACTGGTTTAATTCTCTATCGGGACAAGTTAATATCTGAAGGAATGGATCAGGGAAAAACAAATTAGTTAAATTCAAGATTATGAACAATTTAGAACACCATCACTCTATTAACACTAAGACAGTCAGACTGAAAGTTGTCCGAAATGACTAAGACCCCCCCCCCTTACCAACTTCCCTCCCTTTTAGAGGTTTAGGTGCGATAAATAAAGGATGTCTGAAATGCCACTTCCAGCGTTTTCCGCAGGACATTTTCAGTAAATTAATATGCGGGAAAATGCAGTAGTTATTTGTTGATTTTACCCATCTCTAGTATTGTCGGTAAGGTAAGTGTCTACAGGAAAAAAAGGCCATCAGAATTATGGAATAACAAAAGGACAAAACTGACACAAAGACACCAATACAGTGCGAAAAATGTATGAGTCATCCTGATTTAATGGTAAAAAATGCCTTTTCAGGGAATAAAAAATGTATTTTTTTCTCATATTTTAGCTGTAAATGTACGCACGGGCGTATGAGCGTACGTGGACGCTACGCTCCTGATATATACCTCTTCCGTGGAGAGTCCGAAGTCGTTTGGTACAACTTGACGATAGTTAAATCTGCAGGGCATGTCTCCGATGATATCTTCATAATCCAATTTGTAATATTCATCAAAATATTCTTCAAAAGTTTTCTCGTCTAAGGAGAGGAAAAGAAGAAGAAACATCACGGCACTAAGTATCTTTGATGTTAGACTTGTCCAAGAGATGAAGAAGAACGCGTGGGTTTTCGTCTACGAATTATAAAACCCACAATGCTGAACTACTCAAATCTAACGTCATTTTAACTGTACTCTGGCAAAATAAGATTTGTTTTTTGGGACTAATTTTCATTGTGGCCGGTTTTCAATATGGGTGCGGTCAAATTTGTCTATGGGGAATTGCCAAATGAATCCTCAAGACTTGAATTTCTCTGACAGAGCAACAATGAAATCACTCGATGCCAGGTTAGTACAAACCACTTAACGAAGTTTAACCGATAAAGGATCGCATATTCGTATTCAGGCTCTCTCTAAACGAGAAAGAGACAGCCTGGGAACGAACCGGAAAGAGGGAGCCTGCACTGGTTGATAAAAAGGTAAAAACTATAGAATATAATATAGAAACGATATATAGAAATATATATCATATATATATAAATAGATATATAGAAACGCTACTAGGCGAAACAACAAATCGGTGAGAAGCAACTTAATCCCAAATATTTTGTCAAGTAATAGGTTTTGGTACCCTGGGTACCAGAGGTTTTTTCTCGCGTTTGACGAGGAGCTTAGTCGGCCGTCGACACGTCTTCGGCCGAAGGCCGAAGAGACGAGCGGCGAAGTCACTTTTTAAGACTTGACCGAAACTGGAAACCGCGCATGAAAAGCCTCTGGCACCCAGGGTAAGGTTTTGGTAGAGTTTACTACCACTGATGACCATGCCAAACAGACCTGGATCAAACACTGGCTTCTTATGTGAAACGGCGGAAGCAAATCTTGATTTTCCTTTCCTCTTTCTACCACCAAATTCACTCTGTTCATTGGTTTCATTGTAATTGTAGTCTGCATCCATCTGATAAATTAAACAGAAAGATAATTGTTGGAGAAAATGGGTTATGCTGGGGGGGGTTGAGGGGGTTAGCCAATCAAGCAGACGCTTAAGAACTTACATTAAACCCTGGATCTTCACAGTGAGGCTCTGAAACAAGAATGAATGAAAAAATGAATGAAAAAATGAATGAAAAAATGAATGAAAAAATAAATGAAAAAATGAATGAAAAAATAAATGAAAAACTGAATGAAAAAATGAATGAATAAAATAGTAAAATTTTTTCATAGAGGTTTTCCCCACAAAGACACGCAGTGCAGCGTAATTTACCAGTTGTTTCCTCTGTTTGTTGTTCATCTTGCTCGTAGTAATCACCTTGCCATTCATCCCAGTTTTCTGTAAAATGAAACATAGCAAGGGGTTGGTTATAGGGTAAGCATGATGGATTATGCGGTGTCACCTTTTATGTTAGGATAAGCCGGAGAGGATGGATGTTTGCAAAAGCAAAATACCACTTAGTGTAATAAATGTCTGTATAAACAGTTTGGCTACATACCCAGCTCTTCATCCAGGTCATCTTCAAAAACTGGCTTTTCATCTTCACCTTCATCGTAATAATCCTGATTGAATGCTTTCTATAACAGGATAACAAAAGAACATTTGAACCTTGAGCAAAATTAGCAGAAATCTGAAAGGTGGGAGTGGCGAGGGCCTAGTAAGCTCAAAATTCTAGCCCCCTTTCGATCACCCCCTTTTCCCCACCCTCAACTTGAGACCCATAGGTTTAGGGTAACGCTGAAGTAAAAGAACCTCTCACAGACACCTCCAATCTTTTAACTCACCTGAGACATCTCTCTCTGCTCATGCTTCCAAGTGAGAGCCAGTGACAGTCCGCGGAGGTGCGGGTGGCGGGTGATGGGATCGGAGCCGGGGGTGGGGGTGAGAAGCGAGGAGGATTTAAAATACACTTTAATCCCGCTTACTCTTGTCACTGTTTTAAATCCTCCTTCCCTGACAGACTGCTCCTGGGTCTCAAATAATGCCCCCCCGTTTGTTGTAACTGGAACCTTTTTTTCATACATTCATTGGTGGACAAAAATAGCGGAAAAACCAGACACTTTAAGGCGTTCATTTCAGCCGTTTTCATGGATGTTCGTTAACTGATCAGTAAAAAGTTTTTAATAATATTCATTTTTATAAAAAGCATAACAAAGCTTTCCGTGTTCCACAGGTAAAGCATGATATGATAGGAAAAATATCATGCTTGTAATTGTTTGATACCTGCATTGCCTCGTCGTATTTCTTGGGGTCGAAGTCGCCTTCAATGTCTTCCTCGTTAAATCCCACATTGGGATTACCGGTGATTTCTAGTAACATGAACAGAGTTATATCAGGATTTGCGTGGTATGGGTTTAATAATATTTGTAACGTCCGTAAAGTCCAGGAATCAACGAAAATGATTTTGACCCCGGCGAGGACTGAACTCCCGACCAAGCTAGGCTCGATTTCCGCAGCTCTCTCGGTCCTCCCCGAGAAACTACAAGAGTCTATTCGAGGGAGGATTGCGGGCTCATTTCCCGAACAGCGGCTGGTAATCGAGCCTACGACCAAGCGCGCTAACCGATTTAGGTACGAGGTCAATTGGGAGCCCTTGGTGAGAAATTTAGGTATTTACGTTGCGGCAGTGGTGATCTGACTGTGAGAATTGTGTGTGTAATAAAGTGCTAGCTGTCTATGAGAAGTCACGAAACCTATTAGCATTGGGATCTGATCTTTACTGTTGGTGACACTTGTAAATTCGAAAGCTCTTGGTCGTTACCAAAAGACGCGTTTATCGTTTTCGTCAGCAGAAATTCGGTAACCGCTAGACAAGAAAACTAAAGTCAAAGCTGTACATAACGGTCACCAGTGGGAAATAGCAAGGTGATCGTTATACCCAGAGCGGCCTCCATATACAGGGCCGTTGTACGCAGGTTTGACTGTACTCTGTTTACAAACCTTGTACCGATCAGCATTACTTGATGAAGAACATCAGAAAATTTCCTTCAATTAGTTCAGTAGTTGTGATACCACATGTAAGTTTACCTTTCAGTTTTTCCAGCTTCTCCATGATCTCTTTTCTCTTGAGGTTTTTTAACCTTTTAAGTTCTTCGCGCTTTTGTTCTTTCTCCTACATTGGGCAGAATGATTAAAAAGTTAAAAAGAAGTCCCCTCTGTATCAATACACCCCCCCCCCTCCCTTTACCCCTGTCAGAGAGCCTGAAAACAAAATAAGGATGCGTTGGATTAATCGTATCCCAGAAGACGGATACGCAGAAATTTCTAACAAATCTCTACCATCGTAAATGTTTAAGCCATTGTTGTGAGAAATTCATCTTAATTATTAATTCCCGATAAATTTCAGGATTTTACCACGCAAAGAAAGTCAAAACAAGTGATTTTGAGGGTTGAATCCATGTATTCTTATTCCGGAATACGGTCAAGTTAACGCGCCTTAAGTCGCCACCTGGAGGACTAAATTTCAACAGTATTTTCGGCATTTAAGGGTTTAACTGTCTACAGTAGGGACGTGGGAAGCCCCTTCCCCCTCCCCTTAGAGGAGAGTTTTCTCAGCCTTCCAACTTCAGTTCACCACTGAGTCAGTCATCAACATTCGCGGGTTCAGTGCACGTTAACCTCTGACGTCATAGATTTTGCAATGTGCGCCCGCTCAGAGACTTTTGGCGGGAAAGAGTTTTATTGCCAGAGGGCATGGTGATGCTACGTCAAATTTAACCAATGAAAACGGAAGCTATAGTTGTAGTGAGAAAAAAATTCCAGCTACATAACTATAGTAAATAAGAATACAGTTAGCGAAAATCCATCAACATCGTTACAAAGAACACCTTGAAATCAGTAGAAACGCTAAGTTTAAGAATAATTTCGGTGGGAGCAAGTTCATACCCGGTCACCCCACCATATAAAACTTCCACACAATTTCGCGACTTTGTAGAGCAATATCTTCGCTCGCTTTAGAAGTGTCACCTTTAAACTTGGCAACATAAGTGATTGTATTAAAAGGCGCTCTAACCAGCGGTGTTGATGGATTTTCACTCACTAGTCTGCCTCAAAACTTGAGGCCATGAGTCTAAGCTAGGGTACAGGAGACTATCATTTCGCGACTTCATCGTGAAGTCACTCTCACTGACCTTTTGTTTGTTCAATTCTCTTTGCTTCCGTTTCTCCTTCCGACGGTCATCTGTTTTCCGAACTGATCCTTGAATGGTTCGAGGATATGTTTTAATCTACGGCAACAATACAAGAAAAAAGTTACCTCGACCACACTAGAGTTCAGCGGCGGAAATTACATGTATACGTTTACTTACAAACTCTGCATCTGGTTCCTCAAATCTGAAATTATACTTTCGTTCAAATTCTTCCTGTTTCTCGACTTCTGATTCATCCTATATTGAAAATAATAGAACAAAACCCATTAGCCTTGTTTGGCATTAGAAATCATTATAGAGAATCAAAAATAAAATGAATGACGCACGAAGAATTCTATCCTAGATCCTGAAGACAAACTTCAGTAACTTTGAATAGTGAAGCAATCTTTGCAAACTATGGTTATCCAAAAATTAAGTGCAAGCACTCGTTTCGTTTTTTAGTTAGCTTTGTTCTTGACTTGTCTAGTTACATTTGAAAAACTTGGTAAAAGATTTAATCAGGTCAGGTTTGCTACAGTGTATCAATGAAGTAAAGCATCTTATCTAACCAAAATCAATATTCATAACGTCATTTTTTAAGATTGAAGGTTTTTTAGGGTAAAGAATTTCAATGTTATCCACAGTTCAGGGGCACCCAAAGACAATTTTCGGAAAAATATCTGTTCGGAAGACGATTTGAGATCTAGAATTTTCGGAACATTTGTTCATTTCTTGCTTGCCTGCCTCTCCTAGGATTTTCGAACATCTAAGAAATGGTAAAATTGCCCATTTTCAACGGATTTTTAATGTAAAAAGGTCATAGAATTTTCGGAAGCCTTTTTCTATTGAAATTTTCGAACAGGTAAGTTTTGATCCCTATAATTTTCGGATCACTAGACTTTCAGCTAGGAACTCCGAACAGATAAAAAATTTATAGGGGATAAAAATATGCCCATATCCACCGTTTAAATACTAAAACACGTTTAACAATGCTATGTTTAAGTGGTTTTGAACTATATTCTCGTTGGGTGCCCCTGACAGTTGAGAATGAAACGACGGCCAAGGTCAAAGAAGATTGAGCGTTTTTTCGGGGGGGGGGGGGGGGGGGGGGACTTTCTAAAAGTACCTCTTCATCATCAGCAACAATCTCTTCATAAGTTGGAATTCTAAGGACCAAACAAAATCGAAAAGAAGCATTAATCACGATGAATGATCTTTACATCTGTACTTCACTTTACAACTTAAAAGAGACGATAAAACTGTAATATTTTACGCGTGTTTAGCCACACATGAGGCATCTTCATTAAGGGCACTTTCCATTTTGTCAGAACTGACCTGCCAGACCATTCCCATAGACTGATGGTAATGAGAATTTCACTTTTAATCAAAACTATCCAGCCAGATCAGTCAACTCTGAAATGCTATGTATGAAGCAGATGGTTTTTTAGCAAAGCCAGTTCTGACTTTTAGAAAGCACCTTAAGATTACACGTACATGTACAGTAGGTCGTATCGTATGACCGTGGGTAAGAGTGTCCACTATCTACCTGCAAGTGTCAGGTTTTATTTAAGATGAGCAGACTTGTGACAAAAACAATTCGAAGGCTTTTATCGCACGTGTCTATGTGACTTAAGGTCCCTTAACATAAACCAAAGCCTAACGCCTTAAGTCGAAAACCCCAGCTGCTACCATTTGTACCTGCACCTGCAATTCAAGAAAAAAGCAACTGAGTTTCTCTCCCCTATCTAGAAGATCAAGAGCCATGTTGGATTACTGGTATGAACAAAAAAGAAAAATAGTAAAATTTAGTTACTGTATACCTTTCTGAATCCTTGTCAATGTAGTTTCTGTCAAGAATATAATCCCTCAAAAATTGCTCTCCTTCATCTAAACTGGGATCAGTCCAGTATCTCCTCAGTGCTTCCTAACATGACAATAAAGCAAAGGAAAAGAAGAGTCAGAAAAAAGAGGAAAAATTCAAATGATGACAACATCTTCATTGCGATACATGTTTTTTTTTTAATAACTGTAGCTTTTATTTAGATGCCTGTTGTAGGCAGGTACACTGTAGCTCCTTTAAGCCATAATTGTAATCTCACATTTTTTGGGTGTGAAGTGTAGAAAAGGTAGAGAAAGAACAGTGAAAAATAGGTCCATCTGTCTGTCCCTGCCCCCACCCCACCCTCCAACCTGTCAGCCAATGTTTCACTCCCAACCCCAACCTCCTCCCCACAAAAAAGGCGGATCACAATGAGGTATAACCAACAGGTGTTTTTTTACTCACCAATTGAACAGCTGGTTTTGTGTCTTTTTTCTCTTCTTGTCCCCTCAGCCATTCCACATAAGCTCTCTCCTCCTGCATCTATAAAAGGCATTTTTATTCATTCAAAACAATATACCATACTTTTCCATTTCTGACTGGCTAGAATATTACAAGAATATTACTGACAAATATTTCATAACCAGCTAGTGCTGCTCAAAATTTGAAAGATGTAACTTACTATAATTTATTTTAGGATTATCTATAACATCAAGAAAGGTAAAACTTTGAATACACGCGCCAACTCTCCCTGATAAATATAGAGCACCAATCTTCCCTCTCCAGCAAGGGTAACCAAATCAGCTCCAGACAAAATCCACTTTTGAAACTTTTCTGTGCTTGGGTTTGGAATTTACCCATTTTCCCCAAAAATTCGAATTTTTTTACAGTTTTTGGGGTATTTTTTCACTTATTTCATCACTAACAAAGATTATTTCATAATTACAATAATATTACAATAGCAAATTTTGATGCTCTGTATTTCATGTACATGTAAGACATCAGTAATGACCCACAATGTAAGCAACTCCCATGTTACAATTTGCAGAATGGGTTGATTTATACTTGTCATCGGGGAGGGGAGGGAGAAAGGGAGGTGGTCACTGATATTGGAGGGGCTAATGCAGAACAGAGTCTCCAGATTTTGGACCTCCAGAGGTTGACATCTCTAAAAAGACAGTGCGGAGGCTCAGCCAATTTGGCGAGAACAAGGCAAAAGATTTCACATGCTATATATGCAACGAGAATTTTTACCTTTTCCTCTGAAGTTTTTTCCCTGACCTTCAGGAAAGCATCATCATCATCATCATCATCATCATCATCATTGGTTTGAATGGCTTTTTTGAAACTGAAATCAAATTTGAATCAAATGTTTATTAGAAACTGTTTGAAACCATTCCTCTTCTTCCATAAAAGCCCCAATACTTATATATTAAATATCACCATAACAAGGGCAACATCTGAGGAATAACATTACAACCTTTCCTTGAGGAGCTTTTGTTCTTCTACAAAGGTAGGAGATGCCCTGCCCTGTGACATGAAAAAATCCACAAATTATAAGTTAAGCAAATGTTATTGTTTGTACATGTAAGGTACGGTTACCACTGCAAAAATTAATAAACTATGTCTTTCACAGTTGCGAAGTTCTTTATGTGTGTTTACCTCGGATGTTTCATCTTCATCACTTTCTTCGTCACTTAAGAATGCTTTGCTGCCAGTGAAAATAAAAAATGAGTTAAAAAGTTATGTTTAATTGGAAGTCAAAGCATCGATTATTAGTTTGATGATTTAGTGCACCTTTAATTGTGCTGCTTAGATAAGATGATTATGCGTTTTTGACCAAGCATCAGGTCAAGATGGCTGGATATCAGTGATTTTTTTTACCTCTGCATCTTGCATCCCTGACCCATAACAAATCATGGCATGCGTCTTGTAGGACGCAAAGATAGATTGATTGATCTGAAGACGTGTTTTTGTAGAATATCCTGTTTGTGTGATTTCTATGGCAGTTATTATGGCTGCTGTTAAACTAAGCATATTTCTTTTAGCCTTTGTTGTGCTTTAAAATAGAAGGACTCTAACTTAATTTCAGGATACTGTAATACAGAGTTTTGGAGTCCATCTTCAGATTAACTGGGTGGATACATAAAGGCCAAAGTATTTTTTTTACTCATGATTTTTCACAAGATGAGTCTTGAGACTCACCATAACTATTTGTAGCAGAATCACTGGGATATTGGTCGATTCTGTAACATCCCCTTTCTGCAACAGTCTTTGAGTAACAGCGAGATAGTGGGGGTATTTTGCATTACGCTGAATGGCCAATGAATGCTGAATTACTCTGAAGTAAACTTGGTAAATCAACTATTTAAGGATATTTTACAGAACTTCAAAACTCATCTGATTTTCAGTTTCCTAACCTTGATCACTATACTCAATAGATTTATTTGGAGTTTGGTGGCTGTTCAGTAGTCTGCGAAATACCCCCTGCTGTTGCTCAAGCACCTACACGTATAGTACACTGTACCCTGATTTATTTGGCTTTATGCTAGGATATTTACATTTTTTTGTAAAATCAGGCAGAATGGCTAGGTTATTTAGCATAACTTTGGCTTTCCTTAGACTAGTGCACAACAGCAACACAATTTAGTTCAAATTAAAAACATGCATTATCGTGCTTATATGATTGTAGCTAAATCACAGGTAGTACTATAACTCCTCCCACAAACCTTCCTTTCTCTAGCAACTCTTTCCTTTCAAAATCTTTCAAATACATTGGCTTAGTGGACTTGGATTGGTCCTTGCTGTCCTCCTCTGATGAAGATTTTTCTACTGCTAAAAGATTGTAACAAGTAGGGGTCAGTGGAAAAACAGCACTGCAAAATTTGGGAATTTTTTTTTGTTATTTCTCAGGAATGTAGGGCAAAACTACATTGTACAGAAAAAAAAAATGCCTGAATCAGGGTGCAAAGAAAGTCAGTTTTACAGCCTGTCATTCAGGCAAGCTGTAGCTAGCATGTACTAGCCAACAAGTCATTTCAACTAGCCACAAAACCCTTTTTGATTAGCAGTATCGATTGCAATCCTTCTGTAATTTGAATTTTCCCAAAAAACAGCACTTGCCCCTCAGGCAAGTTAAGAACAAAAATCACTAGCCCGATGGCAAAATCCTCTAGCCCTGGGCTATTGGACACTACTTTCTTTGCATGCTGTGGAATGTTATTTTATGTCAGAGTAAGTCTGTATGCAAAGATTTGGCAATTGAACAATTTCAAGTTTGGTAAGTTCATCAGATGTGCCCTTTTACCTCTGACCCCTTTAATTTAATATTTTGGTCTCTCCTTACAAATACAGTGTAACTCCATAATTTATGGATGATGATAATATGAAAAGCTCTTTACATTACAGGCAGTTCCTTTGGTACCAAAAGGATCAAACATCATACAATAATGTCAAAAATATAGACACCTTTTTGTAACAGATCAAAAGGCTGTTTTCCACACCCCAAAGATAACAAACATCCTGCACATCCTACTTCTACTCGTTCATATGATGTCATGAGAATTCAAACTAAAGAGTTATCAATTCTTCTGAGTGTTCACTTTCATGAGGTATTACAGCAGCTAAATCTCTATATTCAAACATATTTGAACTGCGACAGGGTTAGCTCAGTCGGTAGAGCGTGTTCACTGTAGAGCGGGAGGTCACGGGTTCGATTCCCGGGGCCGGACCAATACTACAACTTCGTAAAATATAGTGTCCCCAATTAGTACTTTCGTGCTAAATACATTGACACTCAAATAAAGTGCATTTTTCTTTTTTTTTTCAAAAGGGTTCTTTGTTTTGCAAAAGAGCATGCTTGAATTTCCAAGCTTAACTGTGTGATGCAGCATCGCAGAACACAAAATACTATATTATTTTAAAAACAAGGCCTAGCTGTTTTGAGTGCTAAACTGAAGGGCATGATATTTGGAAGAATAATGAGTTCAATATTTACATTATGTACAGTTGTATCAAAATTAATAGTGAACTTCGCATGGAGAACTTTACTATTTATAAATTAAAATGCTTGACTACATGTACCTTCACTTTAATAGGAAATGAAGGATCAATATCTAACCATGCCCGTTCATGAGCAGATACACTATGGAATGATCTGTTGTCATACCTTCTTCATGGTAAAAATTGGAATCCTTCTCATAAATCTTGGGATCTCTATTTTTTATCAGAGAGAGCACAGTAAGAAAATCCTTTTCCTTCTGAGATGTAAGCTCCTGGAAAAAATCAGTAATAGAAAGTGTTCATAAATAAAGCTGAGGCTTTTCTTAAAAGGATACCCCTTAAAAAAGAGATAAAGACAGTGTCAACAACTGGAGCTACAGGTGTAACTACTTCATGAATGGCTGTAGTAGGAGGAGAATTCAAACAGGGTTAAAGGCAGCCATCAACAACAGAATCTGTTGGTGATCAAGAGCTTCGACTATATCATAATTGTACATGCACATGCCTGTATGTCGCAGTTCAATTTTATCCTTGATTTCAATTTGCACTTTCCTCTGTTTCAACTATTTATAACTTGCCACTTAATTTGCCTCGCCATCGATAAACCTTTTTTGTTTGGGATGAATAAAATGCCCAGGAGAAGTTGGAACCAATGGTTATCCAAAATTGGAGGCGGGAGGGGGGGGGAGGGGCAAACAATGTGTATTATGGACAATCTGAAAGTGGCGACACTGATGGAAATAAATTTAAACAAAGGAGAATAAAATTTGGACCAAGGTTAAAGTTGAGCCGCAACATATATAAAATTATATGTTGTGGTTTAATTTTATCTTTAGTTTAAATTTTATTTCCCTTTGTTTTAGGGTATGGTAACGTAGGATAATGAGTTTGAAACAAAGGGAAAAAATTAAACCAAGGATAAAATTAGAACATGAGCGGTCATCTTTCTTTCCTCGCAGCAACAAGCGGCAAACTCAAAAGTGAAATGGTAAAAAGGAGGAGAGATTAGGGCGGAGAGTGGAAAAAGGAAGACTGTGGAGGTTTTCTTGTATTTTGAACTAATGTTCCTAACCAAACAGCAGCGAATAGATCAGCTGTTTGTTTACAGGAAAAAGAATGCGAAATGGTGCAAATTTTCAGAAGAAGCAACTGTCAATTCAGGAGGCATGAAAAGCGGCAAATTGCCAGATCAAATATCCCTTCACAGTCTCTTATTTTGTCTTTGCTCGGGCTTCCGTCCTCGTTCCTCACGGCGAAGCCACCCTCCCCCTGTGCATGCTCTTGATCTACTGTGACTCAAAAGAAAAATACGAGACTAGTTGCAGTTTAGGATAAAATTGAACCACAACATAAAATTAATAAGCTTAAAGGCACAAGTATAAAGTATCAGCAAAATGCTGTTATCAGCTTATTAATATCAATTTCCAGTATTAATATTTTCACTCACTCTCGCATCGTCATCCTCTGATTCGGAAGAGCTTGATTCAGATTCCTCATCAAGATATTTGTCTCCAAACTTCTGTTTCACTGCAAATAACAGACAACAGAACCACGTGATAGGGATCTCAATTTTGGCAGCCAGCATGCAGTGCTCACTACTCACTAGCCTCGAATTTTGAACTTGTTGAACGCCGAAGAAGTTTTTTTCCTACTTACAATTATCAAGTTCAGCTTTTTCCTTCTGTTTCTGAAGCTTTTTTGCAAAATCCTGGTTTACAGTGAGTTTTAAATCCTCCATTCTGTCGGCCATGTTGTTTATCCCGGTATAATTATGTTCCGCTTTCATACATGACCCTGCAACCTCTCTATGCTTCTACCGCAGGTCTCAAGTATTGCGGAGGCGAAACTTTCCAAAATGGCGGACAAAAGCAATGAATAAATTCGTTACTCTGCTTTAGAAGTTCATTATCCCAAGGCGATCAGGAGGAAATGTTAAGTTTTGAAACTCAGAGTAATACGCAGTTATAATTCTTGCTAATGGGAAACGTTTTGGTTAAATTCGTCAACGTTTCGGGGACAGCAGCTCTTTAGCTTGAGAACAAGATGGCTTCCGGTCATAGCCTTTTCTTAATTCTTCTTCTTTTTTGTCAAATATTGGGTCTTGTACTGTTTCTGAGAGGTTTCTTTCCTCTGAAGAAAGCAATCCAAGGAATGGCAGCCATCACGGACCTTCCACCGGAGCCATCAGCTGAGAGGCCAGGAGATCCTTTGTCTCCAAAATTCGGAAGAGTGGTGATCGTGTTGATCGATGCCTTAAGGGCAGACTTCGTATTTAACAATCAGTCAAGGTTGCCTTTTACTCAAGAAATAATCAGAACTAACAAGTCATTTAGGTAACGTAACGGTATCCTACTAATGTACTTTGTTGCGTGACACTAAATTATTATAAATACAGTCGAACCCCGCTATTTCGAAGTCCCAAGGGAAATGAAAAAAAGTTCGAAATAGCGGGGTTTCGAAATAACCGGGGAAGCGTAAAATTCGTAATAATGAATCATTTTTTAATAAAATACAGTAAAGTATGAAGAAAGACACTGATTAAATAAAAATACAATGTCGAATGATTAGAATAGAGACAGCAGAGTTCATACGTCTTGTTTTGTAATTGAATAACACAGCTGGAATTTCTTAGCGGGACACTGCACGTGAGTGAAGCATTGCTAAGTCATTAATTACGCAACACGAGCTCAAATAAAATGCAATACGTTTCCAGCTGTGCTCTTTTGTACGTACAAGTTCGAAATAACGGGATTGATTTAAGGTGTAGGGAAAGAACGATGAGTTCGAAATAGCGGGGCATTCGAAATAACCGAGTTCGAAATAGCTGATAGTAAATGACTGAAAACATATGGGTAAATCCAAGGGAATTAGAGCTTCCTTCGAAGTAGCGGGGACTTCGAACTAATGGAGTTCGAAATAGCGGGGTTCAACTGTATATTGATTTTTTTTAAGGCCAGAGTGACAACCTTTGTATCCAGGGGGGTGGGGGGGGTCAGGGTTAAAGAGAATTCACGTATGCAGAAATTTGAAGTGCCCCAATAGCTACTCAAATTTAATTATGTGGGAAATCACAGCTGTACATAATTTATGCACTAATCAGTACCCCTCCATAGGTGGGTAGGGCGGGAAGGGGGGGTTCCTGGTCTTTGCAAAGAAGCACTAGTTCAATTTCAAATTGTTGGCAGTTCAGTCAGTGATAAAAATCCCTTGGGTCTTTCCCCAGGGATCCTTTTAAATAGTGCAGCCAACATCCTGGAGAAAAAATTGCCAACAAAACCAGGGACAGATCTAGGGGGAGGGTGCAGGGGGTGCGCACCCCCCCTAAGATGACCTGCGGTTTTCTAATACAACTGGTATTCTGCAAAAAAAAACAAAACTATCTGGTTTATTGGTGTTGAAGTAGAGCAAGAGGCGAGTGCACCCCTTCCTAAAAAAATCCTGGATCTGCCCCTGAAAACTCACCAAATCCCGAGGCTTGCTTGCATATGTCCCCAGGGTCACCCTGCCAGGATGGCTGCTGATTGGTGCATTATAGAAATAGACCCCTACACTTGCCCTCACTATACCGATGTCTATAAAATGTCACTAATTTGCAGAGCCATATCTTTGCTTTTTCTGACATACCAGTTTTAAACTTGGTACATGTTAAGTTAACTGAATTTAATGTGCTCTTTGCAGCAATGCGCAATATTGAGGACAATATGGTGACAATATTGTCAAAAGTTGAAAAAGCACATGGAAGGGCCTACTGAAAAAAAAAAACAGTGAGAAAGTATCCTTCAGCTCGGGAATTTAATAAATACATGTAGAAGTATAATGACATCTCAATTTTATTTTTTCCAGCTTTCTAGCAAAGGCACACCCACCAACTGTAACTATGCCAAGAATAAAGGTCAGTTTAACCAACAAAATAGACGTGCTTGCAATATGATGCTGTGGTCAGTTACTTAAGCTTTAAGTCCCTTATTCCTCAATTAAGATTGGTCACAGAAGCAAGGGACAGGTCTGGCCCAACTAACCAAAAATTCTGCCAACAGAATAAACTTTGGGTAAAATGGATTTTGTCCATGGTGCCGTTTACTTATGATAATAAAATAGTGTGCACTTCTGAGTAAAAGGATTTTGTTGGTATTGGCATTAGGAAATTAATTTTAATTTATACATGCATAAAATTTGAAATTCTTTTCTTCCCCTGTAGGCACTGACCACAGGTGGGATACCAGGTTTTATTGATGTGGTTTTCAACATAGACTCGGAATTTCTCCTAGAAGACAATTTGATAAGTCAGATGAAGTTTGCAAACAAGAAGATTGTTTTTTACGGTGATGACACGTGGATGAGGCTGTTTCCTGAGCACTTTGAAAGGACAGATGGCACAACATCATTTTTTGTCACTGATTACACTGAGGTGTGGAGATAGCAGTAGTAGTCCCTAGGGGTTACCCCAGAGTTAATGTTACCGGGATGATTGAAAGAGAGCAGAACCCCCCAGAAAAATCACTGTGGCTTCCAATGAAACCCCAAAAATTCCCTGGACCAAACATTAGTCCAAGAAAAATCTCAAGCCCATACTCCCAAGGCCATGTAACTGGAAGGCAATAAAATAATATTCAAACAACCGCAAACAGGTAGAACTACATGACTGGCATACGTGTGTGGTACTACAGCAATCTATGATTGTTTTGGATACCCAAAACAATGCCTGCTTAAATTGAGGCACCCAAAATTTGTTATCAAAGTTAGCTTGTTCAAACAAAGGAATCACAAAGTTACACAGAGTAGTTTTATGGAAAATAATCAAGAGTCAGTTAATTATTTTTTAAAGGAAAACATTGAATTGCAAATTAATTTATAATGGATGACTTGTCCTAATCCATTCATGGCATTGTATTAATTATTGATAGGTTGATGACAATGTCACCAGGCACATCGACAGTGAGCTTAAAAGTGATGATTGGGACATTATGATACTTCACTACTTGGGCCTTGACCATATAGGACACATTGCAGGACCATCAAGTCCCCTTGTAGGACCCAAACTCCTGGAAATGGACCATATTATAAACAACATTTATAACGCAATGCTCAGTTGGGATAAAAAAAGAGAGGCACCTTCTATGATGGTACTCTGTGGTGATCATGGAATGAGTGATGCAGGGAGCCATGGTGGTGCATCATCCTCAGAGACAAGCACACCCCTTGTGTTTATGAGCCCTTTGTTTGAACGTCTTGGAGGTGAAGTATTTAACAGGAAAGAAGTTCAACAAATTGATCTGGTGCCAACTTTGAGTGTACTTTTGGGGCTTCCAATACCTCAAAACAGGTAAAAGACGAAACGGCCTTCATAATTTAACTATTTAAAGCTTCTAATAGGTCATGGGACCTGGAAGTGTTGAAAGTATATTCAACTCTATTTTTTTAGCCAGAGTGTAGGGATATCTCAACACTTCAACTGGCAAGGAGCACGATCAATCCTATTTATTTGCCTTATCATATGTAAGAAGTTCATAGATGGACTCAAAACCTGCAACAAAACTGACCAGAGGAAGGTTACTCAATGCTTTCTGCATTAAAAGCTCTTATGTTTTTCGTAGTGTTGGTAAATTCTATCTGATTCCTTCTTTGTTTTCTTTTCAGCATAGGAGTTGCTATACCAAGCCTCTTCGGCTTTCATACACCAAGAGAAATGCTAAGAGCTCTACAGCTTAACACACACCAGCTGTCTAAAACACTTACTGCAAATGGCCACTCCGTGGAGAACATGTACGAACTAAACCACGCCCACAAGCTTCACTCTGATTGGCTCAAATCCACAGAAACTGCACACAGTTCCACAAATCTCAAGACAAAGGCGGGAAAGGTTGCTAAGCAGTACATCCTGGCTCTTGAGAAAATGACCAGTCGCATGACCGCCTCGCTTTCAAAATACGACCTTCATGCAATGATTTGTGGTATAGCTGTTCTTATTCAAACGCTTTGCTGGGTGGCCTGTGGTTTACATCGAATTTCCTTTCCAAACAAAAGAAATGAACGCCTTGATGTCTCTGTGACAGGTGTCTTTGTGGTGAGCGGCGCTGTTCTTCTTGTTGCCGTTCTTCACCTCTTAGCATGTTCCAGCACAGTGATTGGTAAGTGAAAAAAGCAGTTGAAACTTTCTTTTCCGAGCTTCCCTAGCTTTAAGACGTTTTTTTTCCAGGTTGCAAACGAAAAATAGTTTCGATCACAAGGCGCTGATTAGAAGTCGACAATGATTTGGGCGTGCTTTGGCACTAACTGTGACATTTTCTTCACTTTGTCTGACTACTTTACACTTCCACCATAGTTAGTAAAGAGGACCCCTCTACTAACTACGCTTTCACATCTCTGAGTGTCGAACTAAGTAATAAATGACAAACGGTTCATGACCGGGGAGAAATAGGCGACATTATCCTCACTTTGTCAGACACTTCCACCTCTTACGTGTGAGAACTAAATAACGAATGACGGCTGTTTCTTGCCGGGCGGGGAAAAAATTTACTTAATCCTTTCTTTGACAGACTGTTCCAAACTTCTACAATTTTAGAAGTGTAGACTAGAACTAAGAAGGAAAGACAAAAATAAAATATCCTGTGGTCAGCGCTGGACAATTTAACTGCGTGCAGTCTCTTTTTTCCTTAATCCGTGACCCGTCGAGCGAAACGCGCGAGAGACGAAAAAGACCGCGCGCGTGACTGAAGGCGCAAGGCGGGAGCTGCCGCTCTGGTTTCTCGTGTCTCGTGCGCTCGCCTCACCAAATTTGTAGAAAAAGGGAGGCTGCTCGCTGCAGTCCACTGGACAATTGTGTGAATCTACACTGAACAAACCGACAGTTTGCGTGCAAAACTATTCCTCATAATATAGTCTCTCAAATAAGAAAACTACTCCTTTCTCAATTCCTCTTAATTTTTCAGGGGGAAGTGACGTCATGTGTGCTGCGAACAGCGTCGAATCCTTTATTTACGGTTCGACTGTAGCGCTGCAGGCTGGAGTCTCTCTCACATTCATTTTGCTTCGCATTCCAAACCTTATATCATCCTTATCGTGGACTTTATCTTGGTTTTCTTTTCTTTTTCAAAGCAGAAGACACTTCTTTCTTATCACAGGAGTTTTACTTCACACGTTTAGCCTTTTATCGAGTAGTTTTGTCGAAGAGGAGCATCAGACTTGGTATTTTCTTACATCGACATTTTTCATGATCATTTTATGTGAGAAAAGTGTGTTATTTTGCAAGACAAACACTCGCGCTGCGTCGGAGGTAACGGCAGAAAAAGCCACTCAGTCAGACAGCTTAGACGGTGAAAATTGTGGGAGATATAGGAAAGAAAAACCCCTTAATCACAGTTTAACGCACACAGGCTCGAGTAAAGACCAAGTGATTTTTACTGACGTGAACTTAGGCGATCTTTTTTCAAGAAAAGAATTTGTCAACGCTGAAACGATTAGGAGGGAGAACAGTTGTTATTCGTGGGAAGCGGCGAAAGCACAATATAGAGACTTATTGTCTTGTCTGGTTGTTTTCGTACTTCTTGGTTTAGGAAGACTATCCAGAGCTTGGAATCAAACCGGAATAAAATGGGCTGATATACCTGATATAGGAGATTGGCTTGTTAAGCCAGAAAACAAGATAATATTATCAATAACTTATTTTACATCACTTGTGTTTATCATTGGATTCCGCTACGGTCGCCATGACATTCTAACTTCTGTTGTGTTCATCGTCGGTTGTGTGTCTTCCTACCTCTATCGTGCTGTCACTGGAAATGTTCAGTTACCATGGTTACCAAAGGAACCAATCACAAAAGGGATTATTGAAGCGCGAATGACGTACTGTTGCGTGACAGCCATGGTGTTGTGGAATGTAATTCTCTTATTTAAGGCAAATAACAGTAACAAGAAGAGACTTTTCCAGGAATATATTTGTGACGTATGTGAACCTCTAGAAGGGCTCCTGTCTAGTTTTTTGTTACTGGAAATCCTTCTTCAGCGACCCCACAATGCTGCCATCCTGGCTATTTTTGTAGTTCAAGAAAATATATTAAGCCAAGTACTCTGGAAAAGGTAGGCATATGAGGACTAGGCTATTTCCAAGTTCCAAAAACTCACTTTCAAAACGAGGTTTAAGTTCAAAACCTTTCCTGTGAAAATGAGTTTTATTTGCATGAGAATAAAACACCATTTTCATATCCATGGCTTTGCTCTACGCCTTGCTTTGAAACAGACTTGGGGTTACTAGGAAATGATGTATTTAATGAATGAATTGTTTTCGAGTTGAAAAACTTCTCGATTATCCTTCAAAATAGAAAATACGTAGGTAATTCGCGACATTTGTTAAAAGTCAGACATAGTTTCTTGAGATGCAAAAGAATACATTACGTGACTCGTAAAATGTCACAAAATACTTAAATACTTGCAAGAATTTGTTGTGAGTCATGATATGTCTAAAAAAGTACTTTAAACCAAGCCATGAAGTATTAAAAAGGCGGTTTGTGTTTTGGAAAATAGTTGAAAGGTACTTTATTCACTGTGGTGTCCCTTCAACATCTTGTTGTTGACATCTTGGGCGAGGTTTTGAATTCTTGCTTTTATGGAACTTAAAAGACTTCTTCGAACTCTGTCGCTTAGGAAGGAAATTGATTCAGTTAATCTCGCCGTTTTGAGAACTATCAAGTTCTCTCATTACATTAGAAACGTTTAATGTTTTGTTATTTCTTATTATTTATCACATTTTCTCCGTAGCCAAGAGAAGTCGTGGATTGTCACGTTAAGTTCCTTGTGGATGGGCCATGCCATGTACTTTTCCCTTGGGAACTCAAACAGCCTGGCCTCAGTGGATATTTCTGCGGGCTATGTGGGGCTAGAGGATTTTGTACCCAGTATTATGGTCCCTCTCACATATGTAGCCACTTATTGCGGTCCCTGCCTGTGGCTGATGGCTGGAATCTTGTCTGTTATACGAAATACCAGAGATTCAGTGAGGTGCGTACAAGTTTACCTTCACATCACTTTTATCTTTATGATATATTTTATCTGCAGCACTACACACGATGGAACCACTTTGTTCACCATATCGACTTAGAAAAGAAATTGCTGCATATTTCGGCTCTGATTTGAAAGGTTACGTTAACGATTTTTTCAAAAGACTCAAAACCCCGAGGCAAACCTTTGGTCGGTAGAGAGAAAATTCCAGATCAAGTTCCTAGTAAAAACATGAAATCTTAACGTAACTAATTTTACCAAATATATGAGTACTGTGCCTAGATTATCGGGCTCTGCCACGTTAGCTTCAAGAGTCTTAATTTTAAACGTAAACTAACGAACGTTTTATTCATCATTTTCTTTAGTCTACAGGTATCTCTTTACCAAGCGTGTTACGTCATCGCTGTCTGCCAGTCTCTGGTCCTTTGTGTTTACTGTACATTAGTATTTAGTCAGCGGTATCACCTGTTCGTCTGGAGTGTCTTTTCGCCGAAGTTGCTATATGAAACAACCAAAACTTTGCTGTGCTCTGTGTTTTCTATTTCTGTTATTTGTCTGACGTGTTTCTTAGTAAAACCGGAGCGACTTAGCTTGCAGAAATCTGAATGAAGAAACTGCTTTGTTATTAGGATGACTTAATGTTCGTGATTTCATGGTTTACTTCTAGGAATGGAGTTTGTAAGCTTTTATGCTGAAAGGAAATAAAAGTTGAGTTTTTATCACTGTTACATGATCCTTTTACCTTAATTTTCTCTGTTAACTCGTTCTTTTGGTTAATTCTGCCTCGCTCTTTTATCTTGTTTCCTTCCGGGTGTCAGGAATGCCACGAATTAATAAATACATTATATGACCCTTCTGTTTTAGTCACCAAGGAAATACTAATGCATCAGTCAATTCCACCTGCGCCCAGCCCCCCCCCCCCCCGGGCTGACCCCCGGGCATTGGCATTTTTTTGCCTTGGATGGCAAATTCCCGGAGGTAGGGACTCTTGAGCTGTCAAATCCCCCGGGGTGTGGACGAGTCTTGTACTATAAATTGCTTAAACCTACACAGATGCTCAGGGATGCATTCACTGCAAAATGTGCGTTAGACTTCATAGACTGCAAATTATAAACGTTAGAACAACTTTAAACCTTTTTTAAAAAAAAAAAGCTAACTCGGGCTGGAAAAGCTACTAGTCTGTCGGTAGAAGAAACGAGAACTCTTTCGTATTTATAAATTTTTTCGGCAAAGATAAAGAAAATATAAAAAAGGCGCATTAAACTTCATTCAAGCGGTATTCAATTAAGGTACGAATTATGGAAAAAAGTAATAATCAAAAGACAGGCGATTAGCGTCTAAAGGCTGTCATGGATGAACGTTCCTCGAAGCCAACTCAAAGCAAGACTTTCGCTTAATGCTTTTTTTATTTAACTAAGACGGCAAGTGGGTATTCATTAGAAATTGTTCGTTTTACTTAAACGAGCAATTTCTTACCAAATACCCACTTTCTTTTCACTCTTCCCAGCAGCAGATTAAAGAACAGAACAGGTAAGTTTTTATCTCCCATTTAATTTCAATGTGCAGTTTACAAATAAGAGTTTGGGTTTCCTATGCAAATCCTTATAATTTGGCTTTCAGTAGGCTGCTGTGAGACTTGGCGCCCTGCGAACTAAGTGGCGATCAAGGCACTCATGAGTAACTCCCCCACGGGCTAAAACTGGTAAATTTATTTATTCAGTGTAAGGTGCACGGCAAATGAAAAACAGGGACACCCAATGGATCTGTTCCTCATAATATCTGTTCTTCAGGCCAATTTTTGCTGGCTGGAAGATTTTGAAGAAAAAAATATGTTCCGGGAATGAGAGTTTTGCCGGGATGAAGATAATTGTTGGTGTCGGAGGGCAATTGATGTCTAGAATAGGTGACATGGATTTTTGTCAGAAGCTCCCCCCCCCCCCTCTTAACTGAAGGCGAAAATGTGACCCTTTTGGCCACACCGATCTTTCCTAACCCCCTTCCCTCCCACTGAATTACAGTGGAACCCCGTTAATGCGACCACCGTTGGGCCATAAAATCCTGGTCGTAATAACGAGGTGGTCGCATTAACGAGGTCTTCAAAATAATAAAATGACTCAATGGTTTTTACGTTTGGTTTGAAAGAATATGGCCGTAGTAACGAGGTGGTCTTAAAAACGGGGTGGTCGTAAGGCGGGGTTCCACTGTATGCCCTTTGGCTACAACCAAACTGGCCAGTAATGTCTGGAGATACATCTGGTGGGAAATTTTCCAGTAAGTCAGGTTGCAGGTTGTAGATGCACCTTGCTGGCTGGGAACTCTTCCATCATGCCGATCAGGCTTGTTGGAAGTGAGGAACAATAATAATAATAATAAGAAGAAGAAGAAGAAGAAGAAGAACATTTATATAGCGCCTATCCAGTAATAGATCTAGGCGCTTAACAAAGTGAAAAAATTAGAATTAAAAGTTAATTCAAATACATAAATTCAAATTTAAATAAAACACATATAAAATCAAATACATCTTCCTAATGACTGAAGTAAAAGTTCTTAAAAAAGTAGGTTTTAAGGTTATGCTTAAAAAGACTTAGATTCTCGCATGAGCGTATGTCGTCAGGTAGTTTGTTCCAAAGTTCGGGGGCTGAGACAGAGAATGCTCTAGATCCATAGGTCTTAACGGTTAAAGCTAAAAGTATTCAGACTGAGCGTAGAAGATGACCGAAGCGATCTAGAGGGTAAGTAGCGGGTGATAAGGTCTTGAATGTAGGTTGGAGATTGCTGATGCAGAGCGTTGAAGGTAAGTAGTAGAGTCTTGAATTTAATTCGTTCGGAGACAGGTAGCTAGTGAAGAACGAAGAGGATGGGAGTGATGTGATCACACTTCGTTGAAGGTGTAATCAGTCTGGCAGCTGCATTCTGCACCAATTGAAGCTTTTCGATGACGTTTTTAGCGACATTATATAGTAGAGAATTGCAGTGATCGAGTTTGGAAGTTATGATGGCGTGAATAAGAATCTCAGTAGTTTGCGTTGATAAGTACTTCCTTATGCGCGAAATGGTGCGAAGATGATAAAAGGCAGATTTACAAACATTGTTTACATGGGGAAGCATTGACATGGTGGTATCGAAGATAGCGCCAATGTTTCTTGCATGTGGAGAGGGCTTGATTATGTCAGTTCCAAAGCGAAGAGGGGGTAGGGATAGTTGTGGATTATACTTTGAGAATAAGTAGAGAAGCTCGGTCTTATCTTTGTTTAGTTTTAGTCTGTTGATGGACATCCACTTATTAATGTCGGACAGGCATTTCCCAATCTTAGCGATACTGTTGGTTAATTCCATGTCGTTGTTTGTAGAGAAAGAAATATACAATTGAGTGTCATCGGCGTGAAAGTGAAATTGCATTTCGTGGAATCGTAGAATGTCGGCCAGTGGTGCTGTGTGGAGTACAGAATCGGTCCAAGGACAGAACCTTGAGGTACACCGCACTTCAGCTCGCGAGACTGCGATCTACACCCTTCGATTAAAGCAAATTCTGAGCGATTAGTAAGGTAGGAGCGAAACCATTCAAGAGCTATGCCAGAGATAGAGTATTTAGAGTGCAATCTTGTAAGGAGGATATCGTGATCCACAGTGTCGAAGGCAGCAGACAGGTCTAACAGTAGAAGCATAACACACTGACAAAACATTTTTGCTGGCTGGAAGATTTTGAAGAAATTATATGTTCCGGGACGGAAAGTTTTGCTGGGAAAAAGATATTGTCGGTGTCTGAGGGGAATTGATGTCTAGAATATGTGACAGATTTTTGTCAGAAATTCCGACAGGACAGACAGGACAGGACTAACAGTAGAAGCATAACACACTGACGTTTGTCAATAGCAACCAAAATGTCATTATGAAAGCGCACAAGGGCGGTTTCACAACTGTGGAAAGGTTTATAGGCAGATTGTACCGGCTTATTTAGCTGGTTAGCTTCTAAATATTTTGAAGACGTATTGCGACAACCTTTTCAATAATTTTTGAGATTACATTGAGGTTTGAAACAGGTCTGTAGTTTGCAAGAACTTCATGATCTAAGTTGGCTTTCTTAAGTAGTGGAGATAGAACAGCAGTTTTCAAAGAAGACGGAAAATGACCAGATTCCAGTGACAAGTTGACTATCTTCAGGATAATTGGTAAAAGTAAATCGAAGTGCTGCTTCAGGAGGGTAGCGGAAGCGGATCCAAAATAAAGGATTTGATGGTGGTATTGCTAGCAAGGAACAGATACGATTTTCCCCAGCAATCTCATTTTAAATGTTTCAAATGGCTTCAGAAAACTTTATTCATGCTTTGTTGTTGTTTTTAGGGTCTTTTTTTCAAACTTTCAAGTTGAATGCCCCTAAAAAGAAAAATTAACGTTGTGATGACCTGCTTGGTTCTTGAATGGATGCGATATTTTCCTCCGGGCCAGTAAAACCAGCAATTTGATGAGGTCGTTTATCGCAATAAGATAGACACCGCTTAGCTTCACTTAATTGACTCTGTAGCCGTGTTATCATTCTTTCCATAATTTCCTGAAGATTCTCTGAACGGATTTCATCGTAACCTTTTTGCTTTTTCAACTCTGGAAGAGCAAGACTTTGAGCCAGTTCAATGCTTGCCTGCTTTAGCTTCTTGAGGTGGTACTTCTGTGCAAATACCAGCTCTGCAATGATATCCGGATCCTTTTTCGCTGAAAAAGATTCCTTCATTATTTTGACAATGAAGTCTTCGCATCTCTGAGAAATGGCTGCCATTTGATATTCATGTGCGAGGCTTAAGAGGTAGAGGCAATTGTCCTCTTTTATTTCATTGGGTGGCTTCCTTTCTACAGTAGGGTAAAAAGAACCTGAAGCAACTCCTTCACTTCGTTAGCCTTTTTGCCGCGAAGGGGAATTTCTTTCTTCTCTTTTTCCTGAAAGTCGGACGTAAACATCGTCTCAAAAACGGGGGAGCACAAGGCAAGCACAGCTCGGTGAACATGGAGTTTTTCACCTTCGACCACGAGAACGACATCGCTAAATTTCCATGGTTGTGTAAAATCTTGAGGTTCACGGTTACTTTCTTTATCTGCCATTGGTGGATTAAAAGTTAACCCAATGCTAAAACTTTTGGCAGACTTAATATCACAACGCTGAAGGAGGACGATTAATATTGATGATTTCCACCAGACGGTTATTATACAGTAGCTCATGATTAATTCAGCGTTTAAAGGAGCGTTTCTCAGAATTAAAAATACATCCCAGTATTATAAACATTTCTCAGAGTTGCACACAAATTCCAGGAAATCGCAATTTCTCCGTTATTACCTCCTGGAAGTAAATTGAAAACGAGTCGTCACACATAACCACGGTGGGCGTATAGGACGCAAAATATTACGGGGTAGGAACTACTTTTGCCTTTTTTATTCGTTTGGGCTCAAACTTTGCAGGATGGTAGAACTTTGTATTCCAAAAAATCCTATGTTTTTTGTTTTTCGATTTTAACGTTTTTCGGCGGGAAAATGACGTCACGTGGTTGACAGCAAAATTAAAATTTCAAGATATGGCAAAACAACAATTTTTACGGCAAAGATAAATAAATTATAAAAAGGCA